ACACCAAAAGTACAATTCAGTGATTCATTCTGTTTAAAGACATAAAATAAAAAAAAGGCAGTTTGCCAAATTTTCGGGCTCTAATAACCTATTAAATAGCCGGACGGGTCCCAACGCGTACCCCAAGGCTCTAGAGTCGATCGTGTATAGTCTGGCAACGGAATGTCGCATATTCGAATTTGGACGTGCGCTTGAATGTTTTTGCTGTGTTCGTGAATGTGTTCTGTTCCGTGACTCAAATCCTTCAATCAAGTCGAAACGCACTAGTGTCAATGTCTAACAAATTTCCTTATGAGAAAAGAGGGTTAAGTACAAAAATGTTCAAATAAAAATTTAAAATTGCAAGAGAATATTATTTCGAGAAAATTTGAGGAAAATATCATTATTGGTGTTCTTCAGATTCATTAAAAAAATACAGACAAAAAATTCTGAAATTCATACGTACACTCAGGTGTGCGTTTTTATTTCACTCGTGCGAGAAAGATGGTACACAAAATAAAACAACCCGGAGATTCAACCATTATAAAATACACAACTTTAAATATTTTAAATACATACATATAATATAACACATACCTTTACATAACTTTATATATAACCGAGCGAAGTGGCTAAGTGCCTAGCGCGCTGACTTTGCAATAGGGAAGGCTGGGTGCGACCCTTGGGCAAGCCATCCTGAGCGGGGTTTTCGTGGTTTCCGTGGTGACTCGCAATTGATCCGTCGCCGAGCGGTGGATCACGGCCAGATCAGGTGTTACTTCTCGGTTTGGTAGTCTAGCTATTCCAGTTTTCCTTATTTTTTAAGTAAATACCTGTAGTTGGATTTAGATTCAGTATGGAAGTATTCGCTAAGAAGTAGGGTTGCGCGTAATATTTGTTGAGCAAATGTGTTTTTTAAGATAGTATTGTAAATAAAAGCAGGGTTAACACAATTGTAGGTTAGAATTCTCGGTATTGGGAAGTAAAATTTAAATATATTTTGGATTCAAGTTAGTGTAATTATAAGTATCATAAGTAAAAAAGCATTTTGTGATATCCGTATTGCAATTGGCGTGGGATAGTTTTATTGAATACTTTTTTTTAGTGTAGTAATACTTTCAATTTTTGTTCTTGTTAGGTTAATTTGTCGTAAAAATGGAGTATGTTTTCAAATGTGACGCAATAAATATTATTATTATTAACGAAGTCATTGAAGATTTATTGTGGGGAGAGACACCACGAGTAATTCCCAAATGAAGCGATTATTTTGAAATGTCAGAACGAGCATTAAAACTTTCTTTGTATTTGCTCATTAAGCTTTCGAGTAATTCTCTTTCAACTGGAGAGAAATTGGGCGTAGTCCATGCATTCTTTCCAACGTCAGGTGAATCCATCACCGAACAAGAACACCCACACGCAACAGAACACCACACAGACGGAACGAAATGAAATCAAAACAACACGTTTCTTACAGCTGACCGCGAGAATACCCACAATGCATTGCAAAATTGTTGACAACCGCGCATTTTCACGACTGCTCACGAATCATGGGATCCGGATTAACTTTGAAGTTTCAAAACGTTGGTGAAACGCACAGGGATCAAGTCGGCCTTGCGTCCGCGGATCAGGATCACCAAACTCGGATCAACTACGAATTTGATCCTGGTTGGTTAAACCGGCCCTAAGGGATACAGCCGAAAAGCTGATCCTTATTATGACACACGTTAATCTCTCCGTGTTAGAATACAACTGAGCTTCGGAGGAAAATGTGTAGCATGGTCAGAAATGCAAATAATAATAATACTAATAATAATAATAACAATAATAATAATAACAATAATAATGTCATTCAAAAGACTGGGAAGTGCAAGAAATTGCTTTATTCGGAACGGCCCACATTTTGCGCAAAGTATTCCAGAAGCACCGACAGTCACTAGGCTCCTTAGGAAGCTGGTTGCAACCTGAAGTAGATTTTCTATTTATCTGACTCATAACATCCTAGTCGTTACGTAGAAGAAAAATAATAATAATTCTCCGATAAGGATGAACTTCAACGACATCACTGATGTCATTGCAAAACATTTATTTGCCTCGAAGGAGTATTATATTCTGGCAACATTACATATTTGACAAAAATATTTAGCGCTTGCAGCCAAATACGATTGGCAGCAGCAGTGGCATTCAAATGAAAAAGCTATCATATCTTTCGCAAATAAACGCGGAAATGTTTATCTCTGGTGGTGCTTGTGACTCAAGGCGGTTTGCACTTTGCAGTCACGGTGAACGCTCATTCCTAAACAGGGCAATTGTCACAGACGGTGCAGTTTTTTCTGCCCATTTGACCTCAGATGAGATTTTGGAGCTCATCAAGCGAATTACAATATCTTTTCAACTCCCCCGCATGCATCCCGGCAGAGTGAATTCCACAAATCCCATCCCCGTCTTCTTTAAGATCGATTGGTTGTCTACGGGCGTTTCGACTGCTGTGGACATTAATCCTGTCAGAAAGGTGAATGTTTTCCTATCTGAGAATGGCGGTCTTCCTTTACGGTGAAATCCGGAGCCGTCGGCTTGCAGGGGCATTCCCTCGCCAGGCATCTCCCCACTGGGGCACCGTCCCAGCCAGGACAAACTCTAAACTCTCGTCTCGTATCTCGGCATGTGTGGTATTGTAGCGCATGTAAGTGTGTATGTAAGGGGAAAGGATAGGATAGAGAAGAGAAGGAAGATTAGGCGTGGTCCCAGGCCAATTTGTTAGGGTACTGCTCCGGCATTTACGCGGTGTTGATCGGAGAAGACACGCAAAACGACCGATAAAAGCAGTCGGCCGCTAAAATTCTCCTCCAGAAGCTACATTTACGTCCTGAAGCAAAACAAGAGGCCATCACAGCATTTGCTCAATGGCTCAGGACAAGACTGGACAAAAACCTGATCGAGATGGGTAGATAAGGTACAGATATATGAAGTCCTCTCCAATACAATACCTCCCCCCCCGCCGCTACAAGCTCTTGCCGAAAAGCTACCGCGCGAGCGCGCGCGCGTCCCGAGCGAGGGGCAGCGGCGCAGAACCCGCGGCGCGGCACGTGACGCAACGCTTCCTCCGGCGCGGGGACCTTGCGCTGCAACTTCTTCCGCTGTCAACATCCATCCTGCGGAATGGGAGGGCCTCGAAGAACGCGCCAGCGAGCGCGAACCAGAGCTGACCCGTTGCCATCTGTTCGGGTCACCTCCATTGCTTCCTGCGCTTCCGTTCGCCCCGCGTTCGTTTTCCACGCCTCTCCGCGCTTCTTTTGTTTCTTTGTGATTTCGCCGAGGGATCTAAGCTAGCATTACGTAATTCAATTTTTTTTATTCTCTTAAAATATTTCACAGAAATAAATAAACGACAGACGATGTCGATGAAATTTCCTTACTGTTGAAAAATATTCAACCATATCTTAAAAGTTCTTACACTACAAACAAAATAATCACGTAACAATTGGCTAATGATCTCCCCGTCACATGCAGCAGGGACTTCCGTCACACTCCAAAGTTTCCCGTGGTCGAACCGCGCGACTACCTTAGAAAATCATCCACGGGGTGCAGCCCTGATGGCCCAATGTGACGAGGAAAGAATATTTTCCAGAAGGCCTGCTTACAAAAACAACAAAGATTTGATCTTTCTCTTGAAGCAACAGCTATAAAATATACGGTGAAGTGCTTAATGATTTCATTAGAATTTTCAGGCTACCGTAGATTTTTCAGTCCGATCTTGTACTGGAAATCGTTTCTTTTGGCGTCAGTGAAACTAGTCTACATTTACGAACTCCATACGGGAAAAACAATTACTTCTAAACCTTTGCAATTTTTTTCTTTCAAATGTCAAAAATATTTATACATTTTGTAATCATTAAATTACTAATACAAATTTTATTTTTTATTTATTAAACATTTAAGGATACTCCAGTATTTACCAAAATATACATTGAAAATCGAAGTTCCACTGCTTTGCGTAATTTGGGTACAATTTCATAAAGTCAAGAAAATAGCCAAGTTGTATCTTTTTTATTTAAGTATATACAAGGTAATTTGCTTTAACCTGAATTAACTCTTTATCAATGGGTTTATAACTAGATGACAAACAATATCTACAATGACTCTCTCTTAAAATATCTTCACAATAGTTATTAAAGAAACTACTACAGAGTTTTTGGTGTTTGAATGAAAATTTGACAGATGACGAGACAATAGAAACCATAGGATGGACACTGTTTTTAAGCACATATTGATTCAAACTCATAGGTATATAATCTTGGGATCATTCTCATAATATGTTAGCTATGTTGATTCATGTCGCCCCAGTGTATTGTAAATTTTTCCGATATTTAATAGTTTTACATGGCTATGAGTTCATTGCAGTAGCATACAGATAAGAAAGTCTACTTTGCTGAACACATACTGCTAAGTATCACTTTCCAATCGATAAACAGTGATGGTACTAATTTCAATGCACAAGTGCTGAAAAATATACATTTAATTAATTATCCTTCTGTACTACAACTAAACTAGGTTAAGATTCCCACCAGAATATCATGCCTTTAAAACTGCTGTACCAATAGGCAAGAGTTCTGGATGGTGCAGATTTCAGTGATGCAGCCGGAGTTTCTCTGAACTCAATTTAAAACCAGGCATTTTGTCATTGAGCATGTTAAGAAAATTAAGATTTCCTCAGGAAGCAAGAACGCAGTGTAATGGATTACTCTAGGATGTATGCATATTTAAGGTCCATTTTTCAGTGAAATGCCTAAGAGACTTTTTTTTATCAAAATAATATCCTGAAGATTTACAGGACTTACGCAGGTAAAGAGAGTCACCTGACATCCTTCATGTGAAATATCCACTAACTTGTTAACAATTTCATAAACATTCAAGTTTATTAACACAGAAAAGAAAATTAATTTGCACTAAAAATCAATTTTCAAAGTCATCTTTTGATAAATATAAAAAAAAAAATAATACAGAATAAATAATATTGCACTCACCATCGAAGAGAACATCTTGATAGTGAATATCCTTCTTGTCTTTCAGAAGCTCTTCCTGCTCTTCCCATTTCTGACGAAGTTGCTCCCGGCGCATGTCGTTTGACATCAAATCTGGTTTTAAGGGCCCTGTGGTTTCTTGTTTTCCTCCATCTTCATCACCTTTCTTGTCCACGCAAAAACCAAGAGATGTTGCCAGCTGAATATCCTTATCTTTCACAAATTCCAAGTCACACTTCAAGCACCGTCGAGTGCGACCCAAGCAATCCGTGTAATCCACCCTAATGAAAGAAATAAAATTGGTCCCCATCGAACTTACATAAATATAAGCATTAGAAAATTCAGTTATTGTGAACTATCCACATGAATGAACACAGTACAACATCTAGGAAAATGACCTGCCCCAAAACAACCATTTCATGTAAAGTAGTCAGGACATTATGAACGTATGTTTATATGGAGAGAAGAAAACAAATGAAAAGGATACAAAAGTGCTCTGCCAGAGAAAAAGAAGTATTGAAGCGTCTTAAGGTTGCTCTAAGGCATGTAGGGTGCATTCACAGACAGTAAAAATAGAATCAAGTGTGAAGAAAGCACAAAGAAAATGAAATTTTGAAATTGTGGTGAATAGATATTTTATTGAACCTCTGAGATAACAAAATCAACAATAGTTGACATTTAATATTATATTTGATTTTACTGGATATACTGAACCACAAACATTAGACCCCAGAGGTTCATTGCAACCGGAAATGACTGTATAATGCTAATTAATAAATCCTACTAAAAGTTTAATTTAATGTTAGGTAGGAGTTCCATTATGAACTTAAGTACTCTTCCTAAAAGATAAGATGGCTCCTTTAGCGTGTATGTGTGTGTGAGTAGCAAACATCAACTTCTCAAAAGAATAAGAATTAATTTTATGTATTTGGAAGTATGTAACACAGGAACCTCCATACTACTCCATTATGACTTGAAGTGATGTAAAATACTTGTTCAAGTTCATGAAAGTAGTAATTTGATATTGTTCATAATTTATTTTTATTACATTCACAAAAAGTATTATCAAAACTTGATTAATCAAACATGCACCGAACTGAAAAACTCATCGTTAATTAAATTAAATATTAATTAAAATTTAGCAAGTGTAATTACCATTCTTCCTCAGAATCTGAAGCTGATCCATATTCATCACTGTTATGTTGAATATCATCCTCTTCTTTATCCTCATCTCTGACCTGTTTTTCTGCATTCTCATTTTCCAATGCTTTTTGTTCAAAATTAACTAAGTATTCATTGTCATCATCATCTCTTAAACTTGAAGCTTGCATCAACTTGTCATACAGGCGTGTCTTAGCTTCCAATGTAGCCCTGAAAATAATAAATTAAGTTATTAGTCCTCCAGCAGACACACCCATATCACTCATGATACCCAGCAATTCCATTTACCATCCTATTATTTGGAATTTTTGGTTCATAAATGATACAATGTTAAAATAGGTTTTGATTTATTTTGTAGTAACCTCAGTTGTAGTAACATCTAACAGAAATAATAACAAAATCATTACTTACTTTACAAAATATATTTAATACAACACAAATATCATGTGTCAAATTCTATCATGAAGTGATGCTTTACACAAAATGATTCAGAAATTGCCAACAGTCTCACTTGCACAGTCACACATTATTGCATGAATGTTGTTTACATAGAAATTTAGAATGTAAAGTACACTTCATCACCATATTTGTTTTTTCCATTCAGTAATATTGTAATATATTTTGCAGCCAATTTTTGCCCTCCCTCTGTATTTATCTGCACTAAAACTTAACATATTTTCAAATAGCTAAATAAGCATACAAAAAGTAGTTCTACCTAAAGTCTTTAATTACATGACTAGGCGCATGGTGCATTCTTTCAGAAAATAAAGATTAAATACTGAACTCCAGTATCTTCAGAACCAAAATAACATTGGGAAAATTAGCAGATGTTAATAGAAAGATTCATGGTATGAAGCAGCATATTATTGAATTTTCCAGGAATGGAGAAGGTAAAAAGCTTGTCTGGGGAAAGAATTCACCAACTCAATTCCAACCAACCAATTCAACAACACTTTAGGATTAAAAAAATACTAAAAATGGAGAAGATACTATATTTTATACCAATGAATGTTCTAAATACAGTCAAGTTCTTGTAAACTTTCAATAATTTCTTAGTTTCTTTACATGTATACTTTAAAATACATATTTTTCTAGTCTATATTTTATTATTTTAGTATCACATGTGTTTTCATTTTTGTATTTTTATCTTTCATATCTTTGCACTCAAGTAACATATTCCAATGAATAAGTTACTTAAGCTTTTATCTGTATGAAAGTTTCATTATTTAAATGTTTCTTACTTATATTTTAGTATTGCATACATTTTATATTTTTGTATTTATATTTTCATTCTTTGCAATTACTCATTCCAATGTGCATGTTACGAAAGTTCTTTATTTGTATGAATTTTTGGTTGAATTGTCCGTAAATTTCGATAAGTAATTAAATGGAAAAAAAATTCAACAAAGAAATTTAAATAAACAGCAATGTCTCAAATAATTGTTCACTGTAAGAAGAACGTCTGTTCAAATACAGAACAAAAAGAAAAAAAATATAGTTCTACTTTTATTTCAATGACAGTCCTTCAACAAGTTGCATTTGCTACATTCGGATTACAAGCATTTGAACTGGGAAATACATAACTGAAGACTTTATAGACAAAGTGAATATATAATGCCATGTAAATTTTAATTCATTGAATCATGATTAAATAACATATTATGTTCATGTCCAAACAGAGGTAAAAATTATATTCATTGTAAGAAAAAGAAAAAAAAAATCTTAAAATTATCAGTAACCTACCTTCAATAAAAAACAAACATTTGAATTTTTTAAATCACACCTCAAGAACTGAAGTGAAAATCCACATAAAAAACCATCAAATTTACCATCAATGATGCTCAGAATTTAAACTATTTTGAACAATAAAATACTGACTTACAATAATAACAATTGAGATATTTTTAAATAAAAAATTATGATTTCATTTTACACAAAATTAATAGATTTTAAGGATATTTTATTCAAATATCTCTAAAAAATATTATTATTTGTAAGTTTTGAAACTGTGAGTGAAAATATTACCTTGATTTTCTGTGTAGTTCTTCATCTTCATGCCTTTTTTCAGAATCTTCCTCACTGACATCTTTCACAAGTTTTGGATGTGGTTCTTGTTCTTTCTTTTGACGAGGAACAGGGTGAATAAATGAAGCCTGTGCTTCTGTTTTTGCTTTATTAACTTCCTCTTGTTTTCTTGAAAGTTCTGCTTTTAAACTGACAAGCTAAAACCATTAAGAATTGGAAATTGAAATTATTTCTCTGAAGGACATATTACATACACTGTAAATTAGCTTTCTTATTCAGAACTATAATCACCAAATTACCCCAAGTCTTCAAGGTATTACTTTTAAAAAGGTCTTATTTTTCCACTAACTGTAGACCTACTTCAAAAATTACAAAATCATATCTCAAAAACAATTTTGAAGATGGTACTTACTGAGGCCTGGCTGACATCAATTACCTTCGATGATTTCATTTTTCATTGACCACTTGTTCAACAATATGGTATAATTTTTCTTTTAAACCTTTCTGTTTCAAAAGCTATTACACATTGTTATAACACATAAATAATAATTTTCATTAATGTTGAAACTTATAATTAATGTGTAACAGACACATAAACACACTTTACATATTAATGAGGTGATGTCATTAGCTAACTGTTCTTTTTGTGCACAGAGCACGCAAATCTTCTCTCAAGTCAACACCACTACAACGCACTTTGAACGTCGGCTCATGCCGACCCACGAACGCCCACGAACGACAACACCACACTACCGTCACAACAGACAGCTGTAGCACGAAATTTTGCGGGAATCGCTCTTCATTTGAAAACACTAGCGCTACAATCGTTGATTCTGTGAACTAAATCACATGGTGTGGAGCTACAAATGAAAATCGGCTAGCGGGAAATTGAATTAGCGGACAAATGCAACATTTTATGATACTGAAGTAGATTGTTGCACAATAAAGTACATAGATAAGAACAATTATAACTTTATTCTCTTTATTACTTATCAGTAAGATAATACACATGTGTGCGCGCTTCAGCTAATAGTAATATTACATATCACTTCGTAATAAATGTTAGTAAATGTTCAAATTCTTCAAAGCACATTAAACATATTCAAGTCCAGTACACTAAATCTAATTTGCACCACAATTTTGTCAATTCATACATTTTCGATTCTTGTATTTTGTATCTTAGAAAGTATATTTTTTCGTCGGCAATATTTAAAAATATCCTCAGCGCTTGACAAAGTCCAACCGTCTAGAATTAGACACGAAGATTTGTCAACAAACTGATATGCAGCGACGAAGCATTTCTTAGCAATTCTGTCAAAAAACATTTTTTTGCAAATCGTTCATAACCGGGCATATTATGGCACAAATTATGAATTAGATTTTACGGCAGGAATGATTACGTCACCACACATTTAGGCAATCGCAGCGAAAGAATTTGGGGAGGTAGAGGTAAACGGAACAGCCGATTACAGTTTTTTCGCACAGATAATGTCAAATAACCAATAATTCACAAGAAAGTTGTTTTGCAAAATTAATTTTATTCTCTTATAAATTTATAATGTTGTTATACAAACTATGCGTATGCAACTCGTTTATAATGTTTTATTGTATTGAAATTTTGAATTGAAAATTTGAAAACTCGCTCCGAAAGCCGCTCGTTTTCAAAACATGTACTCATGCAATAAAGCTTAACAGAATAAACTAATTACATAAACTAATATTAATAAACTAATTAAACAGAAGTCGATACTTTTATTTTTACCCAAAATTATTACTTTATACAAGAAACTAGTGGTGGTACAACAGTAAATACTTTCTCGCTCTCTTAGTAAGGATTATGTAATATTATAACGCAATTGCTATTTGCAATTTTCGAAAAAAACAAGCAATGTGACTAGATGTGAAACGAAAATGAGACACATTCCGTACCTCAATAAATTTTGGATGCACCTGCGGAAGCCACGCGAGATTTAATCCCTGACAAATCTAAAGCACGATACGAGAAGGCATACGAAGAATTCAAAACTTGGCAATTAAAAAATCACGTAGCCATGATTACAGAAGATGTAATGCTTGCGTACACTAAGAACTTGATGAGGTAATTTACACTTATTCCTTTTATAAAGACAAACCTTTGTCTTACGTTTTGTTTTACAGTCGCAGGTGCAAAAGTCAACCTCATTTTGGGTCTATTATATGGGTATATTACTATTTGTTTTGTAAATTACCTTATGATTTTTTCTAATAATGTTGATTTTCGATGAATGGGTGGTTGTTTATTTAGGTTACTAAGGATGTTACAACCCATTGCTAAGGTTTTAAATTTCTTAACTACAGGTAGGTACAAGTGCACTTAAAAATTTTATAGGGATGCATGTTAACAAGGGCTAAACCCATGTGACCGATATGCATGTGAACGAAAAACTTACTTATCAGTCTACTTCTGACTGTGACGTGCATTTTGCAGGTCTATACCGCAATTTACAGCAACGAAGAATACGGGGACGGAGACATTATTTATGTTGACGGTTTTTGTCCTGGCAAGTCATAAGAGCGGTACATGTATATCACAAACGATTTTCTAATCGTATTGAAACGCATAAAAGCGTATTTATGTATACCTTCAGAAGGTTGCGAGAAACTGGTTCATGATCTCCGACCTCCGAACGCGGCCTTTTTCTCCAGCTTCGGAACAAGAAAGTTATCTTGTTGTGATTGAAGCCGAAGAAAATCCATCAAATAGTGTAAAAATAGTATCTTCTCAGTTAAGTGTCACGAAGGAATTTTGGATATTCCTTCATAAATAACACTTGTATCCAAATTTTGCAATGTTCAACACTTTCAATCACAAGACAGAGAATCGCGTATGCAGTTTTGCACCTGGCTTCTTCAAAGGCCTAATATTTGTAGTAAGATATTATTCACAGATGAGGCACAGTCTATTAATTTTCAACATCTTTTGTGAATGTAACCGAGCGACAATTTAAAGTCGCGTCAAAGACAAAAAAAGAGTTCAGTCTGTTGGTTTTGAACATCTTACAATGTAGCTTCACTATACACACGGTTTATTGAACTCTCCTTTTGCTTGCAGTGGTAGGAGTATGCGCGAGTTATTATTTTGTTAGCAATGCCGAAAAATCAAATCTGTAGTTCGTTTACCATTGCAAATACGTTTTCTGAATGTCGCAACGAAAATGTCTTGTTTTTCAAATATTGCTAATCTCGCGCTTTTTTAATAATTTAATTGTTTAAATTTAATTGTTTAAATTTATTTATTTTTTAAATTTAGTTATTTGTTTAATTTTCTTTATTTGTTTAAATTTATTTATTTATTGAAATTTATTTATTTACCTTTTACTCAGCTTTCAACTATTTATAGTTAAAATGATGGGAAGGGATTCTGGAACTCAAAAAACGTGCACAGATGATCTTCACCCCCATACGCCACACAGAGTTTTTACAGTTTTTTGACTAAATAAATGTAATCTAATATAAAAATATATCGTCATGATAATGCAGCTTTTAGATGATGTCATAGGCTTCCGCTTCCAGTCATGATCTGCGCTGTCCGGGTGACGCCGCATCGAAGACTGAGATGCTGACGTTTCCACCAACATATCTTGGTCTTAGTATAAGAGCTGTAGTGCTGCACTTCAACCCCGAAGCCGGACAGCGCAGATCACAACGCTGCTTTTATTCGTACCAAGGCGTACCAATTCGTATTTCCCTTTTAATCTGTTCAAGCGTTTAAGATATCACTGCATTAGATAAGTGATGGTCATTCAGATATCTCTAATACTTATTAGCAACGAAATTTATACCTGTCATTGTTTACGTCAGCTTATCTCTTCTAAGTTGATGACCACTTTATCTGCAAGTTACATAGTTTGTACTGTGTGCCTAAGAGTTTGAACATTTTTTACAAGAATCTAAACCGTCTCGATGTCGGTAAGTACTGTTGGGAGCAGAGAAAAACACGTTCTTTACAGACAGGTGACCGTGCCTACACGTTTCACTTATTTGCAACTTTTTCTCTGACGTTTAATTAATCATAAGAATTATCATTAATCATAATAACATTATTATAATCTCTCTTCGAATACTGGAAGGCGAGAAACGGGATTAGAAAGCAGACGTTACTGACATAGATAAGATCAACGCGTAAATACTTTGTTACCCGCGACATCTTTAGAGAATGGACCTATCAAAGGTCTTTTAAGCGGAATTCAGATTTAAAAAAATAATATATGTGATAATTATTCTATTTGCATTTTTGTTATTTAACGAAAGTATACAACTGAATAAAATTTAAAAACGAAATTTCGAATGATTCCATAAAATCATTTTTAACATTAACACATCATAACTAAATGATGAATTATAGTAAATATTTACTATACTTATACTGTATACTAAATAGTATACATATTTGCATGCAGGCATGCATACATACATAAACACACTCGTACATAATATACTGACCAGCCAAATTATTATGACTACTGCCCTTTGGGTGAATAAACACCCCCTACGTACGTTGGGAACTTCTGACGCGATAAGGATAGCGGAGCAGAGACGAATGAGAAATCATTCTATCAATCATCATGCGTCGTATCTGCAAATCATCATGCGTCGAAAAGAGGGAGATCTGACATAACTGCCTTTTAGAAAGGGCAAAGTGTGATAGCCTTGCGCCTGGCATCGTGGAAACGGCAAAGCTGATTGGCTGTTCGCGTGCAACTGTCGTAAGCATCTATGGACACCGGCAGGCGACAAGGTGTTGGCCGTCCATCGCCTATCAAAGAAAGCAGACGTGGGAGGCCGGTCCGCTTAGCAAAACAGGAGATGCTGCTACCTGGGGAAGATCTGACAGCGGAGACTACAAGAAGGTGTACAAATACTTGAGAGCACACCGTTCAGCGCACGTTATTGAACTTGGGGCTCCGCAGCAGACGACCCCAACGTTTCCCCATGTTGCCGCAATGGCATTGTCACTAACGGCTGCAGTGAGCCCGCGATCATCGCAGTTCGACCATAGGACCGGCTGAATATAGCAGGTGCAATATAATAATATTACGATACCAATAATCCGAGAAAGTATATGCTGTTGTTGTACCGCTAGTTTCATTTCGCTACATTTTGCGACCGGCGAAGGTGACTCAGAGCATGAACTGATGCCCTCCCCAGTGCCTCTGACCGGGAGGTCCTAGGGTACGAGTCTTGACAGTGGCAGAATTTCGACACTAGCTATGTAGCTAGGTCTAATTCAGTCGCTATCCGGATAAGAACTCTAGCGGCAGGATGCTCTGCTTTACGTGAATTCTCGGAACAATGCCAGGCAAAGGTGTTTAACGTACAAAAAACATACAACACCAGGAGGAACGCGGAGAAGATTTTGTAAACGGCATTCACTAGCTATTGAAATTCATTTCTGGATATCATGATCTTCAAACTTGAAGATGAAGTACGCGGCCCCTTGTTGATATCCGACTCTGGTCTGTTGGAATCAGATATAGAGGAACATGCATCACTGTACTCATCTTGTCTACGGGATCTTAAAGATGGGAAATGCTCCAAATTGAAATCATCATGACTGTCATTTGAAATAAATTTACTAACATCACTCGTTTTTTATTCATTTAGAATATTCTACGAGCAAAGAAAGCTAAATGCGCACTCAATATTTTAGATTGCAGACCACTCTCAGACAATATAAAATCTGTTTATTCGTCATATTTGTTATTGACACATCCGCATCTCAAATTTCCAACACTTGGCTCCCGTTGCACTCCAATGAACGGAACGTGCAGGGGTGTACATCACATCGCGTCCGCCAGGCTTCCGAGGCCCTACTTCTGTGACGAAAGCGTATTAGAGAAAAGGGAGCCATAATTCGACTTCGAATACATCGAATTCGCGGAAAACCCACAAAACTCGTTCTTTACATTACAGTAGAAGAATACCAAAAGGGATAACGATAAATGGCATCTCATCAGCAAGCTATTTCGAATTAAAAATACCTCGAAGGCCCAATTTCTGCATCAGAGGGTTAAGGAATAACTGAATTCCTCCATGGATAATGTCTTCCCCGACGGCAATGATATCTTCCAACAGGATAAATGTTTATCTCACAAGGCCAAAATCGTGCTTCAATGGATTGAGAAGCATGATAGTGAACTCAAATTGATGTCTTGGCCATCAAATTCGCCTGATCTCAACCAGATTGAATACATCTAGGATGCAACCGGTTTTCAGCTCCGCAATTCGGCTTTTATTCAGTGAATTTGCGTGCACACACACATACTGCTTGCACTGACGCAATAATAATACATTTATTCACACTTGTGTAATGTGTATAAGGAATGGCAATAATACTGTAATGACAGAAGCGAAAAATTAATTCTTCGTTTAAAGTGTTTACGCCAGCCAAAGCAAATTCCTCTCCAGATCCAAAGAGGTTTTGGACCCAAATAGAAGTTATTCTCGAACCAAATACTTGACACTAACACTGCCAGGTCCACGGAGCTGAGTTCACCAGAATCAGAAGTCCTCTGAGAAACCTTACACGAAAGATAATACATCGACAGTGTTCTGAGAACAACATAACCAGTGACCAGTCATATCGCGACTTTGATTCGATTCATGCCCTAACCTCTTCATCATCAGTTCCCCTTTAGGAGATCGAAACGCATCGAATGTCTCCTCATTTGTCTCGATTGCTGGACGGGGGATAAAGGGACGGAGAGACTCAGGTTACTCGAATACTACATAAAGATAATAAATATAAGGAATCACAAGAATAATGAAAATAAAACTATGACTTTTGCTGTTAACAAAATTATTATTTGAATAACAAATATTTACATACAAACGTACAAATTAAATGTGGGTCTATAATTTTTTCAGCAATTTGGTTTAAAAAACCGTTTCTACAACTGCACTTACTTTTTCGCATTATTTGCGAAAGTAACATTATAATACTACGCGAAACGGCAAAACGTAGTTCACTATGCAGCGATTCGAACTTACATTCTAGGATTTATCAAGCTGTGAGCATATGCACGGCACTAAATTGCTTAAGTTTAATTACATGCTTCTGAAGGCTTTAAAGAAATTTGAAAAGATGCAACATATATTTTAATAAATTACTTGACATTATTTAAAAATCTAATACTGAATAACAGATTTCATTAAGCAAAAAAAATTCTTCATTCGAGACTGTTTTGAAAGTGAGGCATAATTACAAACCATTTGGAATGCAATTCACCATTTTTGTCACCAGGCAGGAAAAGTACCAAAACGTACGGTCCCAGAACAGATAGTAAAACAATTATAAGAAAATACGTATCAACCACCGAACATAAAAAAATCGTAATATGTTCTTGTGATCGGCAGCAGTCATTATTGCCTTCTTATCAGTGTGGCGTTACAATAATGGGTTGCAACAACAACGACCAAGACCGCAACAATGATCGCTAATTCGTATGGGATAAACATTTTGCCAACTGCCATTGTTGATATCGCTAGCAAGAAAATTAAAATTAATAGAAAAATATAATAATTAAATATAATATTTTTATATTCATCAAAATTACTCAGTTTTCACACGCATTATTCTTCATTCCCACATCGTATTAAGCAAACAAAATCTATTCGATTTACATTTAACTCAAAAGACGCAATTTAAAAAAAGATTTTAAATAATTTCTATAAGATTGTTTTTAAAACTAAAGCTCGAGCAGAAACGCACAAAGAAATATGAAATAATGTACAAATTCTAACTTACGAAGCTACAAAACAATCTAAAATTACGGTCTCAAAGCGCAGAAAATACGGAACGGGCGTCTATGTTTGACGTCAAATTCCTCCAAAAATACTCATATTTTAGTAAAATTCAACATGACCCCGTTTGAAAATTGTTTTAATGAACACATTTCGTTAAGAAAAAAATGTATCTTCATAATTGTTAATTGTAAGAAGATGGCGAATTTTTTTCCCTATTTTCCAAAAATAGGAGTTTTTAACCAACATGAGACTTGCACCATTTTCTTAAACGTCCTTCAGACTATCAACTAGCAAACTTTCATCAGCAACAATGGAGCAGTTTTTGAGAAAAAATTGTTTAAATTTAAATTAAAATATGCCTATATTTCACGCAACATTACGCGAAAAAAACCAAATTTTCGAAAAATTGAACAGGACCTTATTTCAAAATCTATCTTTATGGAACAGATTTCATTAAGGGAGAAAAAATTATCTTTAATATTTTAGATGTAGAAACACTCCGAAAAAATATTTTGATTTGTTTCCAATTTTAGAAGAATCAGTTTTCAACCAACTTGAGACCTGCGCCATTTTCTTAATCGTCCTTTCACACTATCCAACCACAAACTTTTTTCAAAATCGATTGCGCCCTTTTTAGAAAATTTTGAAAATGTCCCAGGGGCTTCATGTAAAGTACCTCAAAATTAACATATCAGTTTGAAATTCAAGGGGCGCGACATCAGCATGTTTGATTGGATAATACCAAATTTTGGAGAAAATCGGTTGGACGGTTTAGCCGCTAGCGTTGTTCACAGACAGGTTTTACACAAACGTTTTGCCTTCAATAGATATTTCGGTATCAAGGAGCCACAAACCATGGATTCTGGTACACCACGTGTTAGTGGATTTTTTTGTAAGTTTAGCGATTGGATTTATCCACGTTCGTTACCAGATCCGTTACCAAGCAATAATAGTTTTTTCTGCCGAAATTCGCCGGTTTTTCGCGAATTATGTAACTGTCTCTCTTCTGCGAAAGCGGATGCAAAAAAGTAATAATTAAATGGAAAACTTTTTTTGATAATTCAAACAGGTGTACAGAAAACCTTTACGTGATTGTCGGCCGAGGGTGGAAAATTTATTCCGATATCGAGTAAATACAGAATGGGTGAATGATAAAATGGGAAAATTATTTTCAAATGAGAAACTCCATTCCTGGAATACCTATGCCTATCAGATAATATATTTAACACAAACGTCTCAAGAGAGAAATACCAGCCCATCGCCTCATTATTTGAAGGTTGTGGCGTTTTTGAATTACAAGACAGTAGAGTCTGATGGAAGGTGCTTCCTAAGAAGAGGAAAGCTTTTACATTTTTAACAGCTTTATTTTTTATCTGTTCAATCCACTGATTTTACAGATTAGCATAACTTAATACTAGAACGGGGTTAGGGCATAGGTAGGCGATTCATTAGTCGAAGTTCCCTCTCTCTAAACTGCCACTTGAATACTGATTACTTCATAACGTTTCATTAGACTCACTGTTTGAAGAATTAAGTAGTTTTATAGAACTAACAATTAGCTTTCCTGTTTCGGGGTAGCTACTCTCTAACTTTGACACAACCTCTCCTGCACTGACCGCGAATTCAACTGAACTCGCAGTAATGTTTCGCTCGTTAGAATACGCTACTCGATGTGAATCGCCAACGAATCAGCGGGAACTTCGACACATTTTTATTGATATTCTACTTTCCTAACGCAGAATAAAATGTACAGAAGAACATAATTTATGTGCAATTTGCGCTTACCCTCTCACGCTAGATGACATGTGACATGTGAATGTCATCGCAAAATACATGTATCATTTCACTGTGTATACCAAGCATGAATATTTTAAACATTTCGGTGCAGATTTCTACATTTCGTTGACATATTTGCACGCGTATTTAATCGCAAAGGCTTCTCCTCACATGCGGCAATCGCGAATCCCGAAAAACCCCTCGGCAAATCCCGAGTAGTGAGTGGGTTGCTTGCGATTCGCCGAGCGCCGAACATACGGTATTCGCCCTACCCACAGCGTGTCGGTGTTAAGGACACATCAAAGGGAGCAAACATTCGCCGAACACACCAGCTGTTCCGGATTGGGCGAGCAGTAGCTCGCTGCTCGGCGTCTGCCGAATGAGTGGAGTCGCCTTAAAAGCTTGTATTAGGCGAACGTCACTTTGGAGGAATAGCGGACTTTAACTCCCCTTCCCTGCCGCAGAGGTACCTGGTGCGCGGCGCGCCCGCCACGGGGGCGGGGACTGTCCCGGGGGCGGCGGCGCGTGGAAGCCGCCGCGGGCAAGGCAAGACGGCGCCAAACGTGCGCCACGAGCCCCCCCACGCCCAGCCCCCGCGCGCCCGCCCCTGAGCGCTCGCACGCACGCGCGCTGCGCCGCTTCGGGCCGTGGCAGGTGCGCACGTTGCTGCTGGTGGCGCTGGTGAAGGCGCCCTCGGCGTGGCAGATGGCCGCCATCCTCTTCACGTCGCCCACCCCGGCCGCCCACGAGTTCTGGTGCAGCCGGCCGCACGCCGCGCGCCACCACGACGCCGGCCAGTGGAGGAACTACAGTCACGCCACCCTCGGCTTCACCGTGAGACTATTTTTTTGTTCTTTTCTTTCTGGGGCTTTTTCAGGGGCACCTTCAGGGGATTCCGATTTCGGCTCCCCGCGTCGGGTGTCGACTATGTCCCTTATGAGGACACATATTAATTTTTACACTAGACCCTGACACACTTGCGGTATGTAGTCAGCAGACTCACTAGGCCTTCCGCGGCAACACACCTCGGCCATCCACTTCAGACTACTGCTTCTATTCTTTACGTCTATGCCGTAATGACCCGTTTAGAAATGTATAGATAACGTGTTACGTTTCTATTGTTAAATGAAAATAGTGAAAACGCTTTCTTTCATATAAATTAGCTTGTTTGGTGTAGTCTACCATATTTCAGTTAAGCTTACTTAACCCGAACATTAAGCAATTGCTATTTTGGGAGCATAACGCATATAAAATTCAATAACAATTATAATTATTATTAAAAAGGAAATGTAGAAATAAGGGGGAAAATAAACCATAGAAGAAAAAAGAGCCTTAATTGCTCAATTCCGATACGCGAAACTTCGATTGAGTAAAAGCACAGTGACCCACCAAATTTAATAATTACAAATTAGCTGAACCCGAGAGATTACATCACAGAAAAGGAAGAATTGTACAACCGTTAGAAGAGAAGAGCTCAATATACGCATTACATGGAAAATCAAAACTCCAAAAATATTATTTCGTGTCCAAGACTAATGAAATGAGTGGTTTACAAATTGTGAATCGAAGTAATCACTAGGGAAAGGATTTTAAGGTGCGACATCTTTTCCAAAATATAGCTGTTTTCATACAAATAGTTTAATATATGTCTTTGGGAGGATAAAATGAAGCGAAATAAATACAATTTGTTACACCTCTTCGTGAGATTACTACATTTTGCCACCTTTTCCCTCTTTTTTAAGCTTTAGAACCTTTTTCTCCATTCTTTTCTGCATTTTTAAACAATTGGACAGAAAAAAATGTATTTTTTATCATCTTGAAAAGTTTTTTAAAATCTCATTTAATCAGAAGTCAATAATATTAAATAAATATTAAAATATCGTTTACGGAATTCTACAAGTTAATTTATATTACTAAGGCGACATTCGGCAATCTGCAGCTGTAAAGCTCAAATTTAATTTCCAACGTGTTGCCTGCAACAGTTCAACGCCCCCTCCCTGGATTTTAAAAGTGCTGCCGTAGACAGGCAAATAGGACATTTTCAGAAATGACTATTACTTTTTATTTAAATAGTTATTAAACACAACTCCCTATGAAGCTCGTTTTAATAAGCTCTTAATACATCAATTATTAAGCGTGTATTACCATATTTCCAAATGTCAGCTTTAAACACGTTTATCTCTTTATATCCAGAAAAATACACAAAATGCATAAACAGTTCAAAATGTTTATTGTGCTCTTGTTACAATACCAGACTTCTAAACTTGTATCGAAAACAATGCTTCAAACAATATAACCGGAAAGTGTCCTAATAATAAAAGCACTGTCTTTGCTGCCAGGAGAATTACCAGTTCTTAGCCGAAGTCACCAAAATCCAAATACAATAACCAAAAGCGGATACTCACGAAGTACGCGGAATTACAAATATCAACCATAAACACTTCGGAGCTCTCTCGCAAAACCAGACTGTCTGCTTAGGCACCCGTGGCTCCGTATACTACTCTCTACTATACTACGCACCCATGACTATACTTTGATTTTTCTGTAGTGGCCGATGGCACTAGGTCATTGTTACACCTCCTGCCTTATAAAATGAATATGTTTAATTAATTCGCGAAAGTCCTTCTCAACGGTATTCGTGGTCTCAGAAATGTACTTATCACTGTTAAAAAGATTCATTTTATAAGGCAGGAGGTGTAACAATGCCCTAATGTCATCGGTCACTGTACAAAAATGGAAGAACGGCAGAACCTCGCCTCGAGCTCGCGTTCGAGGCTGCTTCACCCCCTGGCGAGCCGTTACACTGCGCGAGCCCTCTTCAAGGTCTTCCATGCATCCATAACACTCGTCACCCCATTTTTGGAGATGAGCCCAATATTATTTATTTTGATACAATTTCATACAACTGTTTACTATAAGACAATTTTGATTAACATGTTTCCTTTGTATCAATTTAAAATGCAATGCGACTAACTGCTATACTTAAGATTTGTTCTCCTAATATAGGGTAAATTTATAGAAAATATTTTTCAAATGCTAACAGGTTTAAAGATTACATTACAAAACAAATTATTTATTATTTCCAATATAAAAATGTTCATTGTTAAGCTTAAAAATGTTGTGTTTTTTTCTATTTAATTTAAAATAAATATGTGAGATATTTTTGACGTACGTTTTTCGTAGTAATCATTTGCAGCTTTTGTTCACACATTAATTATTTTAAAATGTTTTAATTTGTGTTATTGCTAATTTGTAGCGAAATACTTTTACAGTATGATTCATGCAACATTTACAAAGAGGCTTATGAATTCTTCGCATCACAACAAATGTTACCATTTGATAGAGGAAATGCTACTGTTCAACCCTGCACAGAATTCGAATTCAATTCATCGGTGACCACTGTCACACAGGTAGACGCTTGTTCCGAAAGAAATTCAAATATCGCAAGTAAAACGAAATGTTATTGAATAAAATATATTTATTTTTCAGTGGAATTTAGTGTGTCAACGACAAGTTTTAATTAGTGTCTCGCAATTCTTCTACCTTCTTGGAATTTTGGTAGGAGGTGCTGTATGTACAAAGTTACTCACCAGGTGGGTTACTGCAACTTTCAAACAAATGCCTATAAGTAGAGTTTAAATGATTAAATTTGATTAAGTCATCAAAAATGAATTGAATGAAGAGACGGAGTAATAAAAGCATTTTCGCCTTCTAGAGTTGCTCCTCGAAGATTGCTGTTGGCTGGCATGTTGGTGCAGATTGCAGCTGGAATAGGAGTCGCTTTTTCAACTTTTATTGAGCTGCAAATGTTCTTGAGATTTCTTACAGCAGCAGCATGTGCTCACATGTTCACTGCAGGGTACATTATATGTAAGTGTTTGGCATGATTTAAAATTATATTTGTTTTAGTTATATTGTTTTGACGTAAAAAATTATCTAATACTCATAGGCTTCATTTTACCATCGTAAAAGCAAAGTGTGTGTGCGTGTGTATCTACATATATTATATATGAAACATCTTCAAATAAGGTCACGTTCAATTTTTCGAAAATATGAGCATTTTTCGTCTAATTTTGAGTTAAACATTGGCAATTTTTCTCAGGAACTGCTTTTTAAAAATATTAATTAAATTAAATAAATATTAATTAAAATTAATTAAACAACCACAATACTATAAATATTTTTTCTTAATAAAATGAGTTTTTCAAGTAAGGTCATGCTCAATATTTTCGAAAATATGAGTAACTTTGTGTGAGACAATTTTAACATTTTAAACATGTTTTCTCAGAAACGGTTCCGATTTTTTTATTTTTATTTTTTTACGTATGAAGCAAGGAACGGTAGTCAGTGGTCCTGTTCCATTTTCGGCACACTCTCTGTATTTTTGAAAATTGGAAAATATCGAAATTTTTATTGGAATTTCCTGCGCTTTGAGTCGCGCCTAAAAGAAATCTGAACCAAGGGTGGAAAGACATGGTGATCTAATACGACGCACTGATGTTTACTCATTCTACGCAGTACCAGTTTGCTTCACGTACCACGTGACCACAACTCGGGCACTTCGTTTGAAATGGCAGACGCCAAATTGCATGGAGAGCGAGTAATGTTGAGAGAAATATTTTAAACGTGTCATTTTTTAACGGTGACGAACCAAAAATTACACTAAGGTAAAATTGAAATATGAGATGCAATATTTTTTAATGCTTCACATATCTGTTTCAAAGACTTGTAACTAGGTGTTAATAATGGTAGTCCGGCTGCATTTCCCAGGTCCCTTGAGCATATGCTGAGATGGCCCCTCGTTTCGCTTCTGGTCAGTAATGTACTCGTAACTTCGCTCTCTCCACCCAAGTCATCATATTGACACGTCATACACGATTGTAATTGTGTGTGTGTGACTCAATAATAATAATAATAGTAATAATTATAATTATTATATATAATAAAAATTATTAAAAATTCCCGCTAATATTGTGTCGCAAACTGGTGCCTAAAACTCATTGGCTCAAGTCGGATTCGAGGCACAATAGCTTATCCATTTTCCCTCTGAAACGTACTCCTCCCCACCCCCTGAAAAAGTTATGGGAAAATTGTATCATGAAACTATTAGAATTATTTTATTTCCAAAAATAATAAAAATTAAAACGTTTAAGCAAGAAAAAAATTGGAAATATATTTCAAATAATAGTTTTATTTGGTCCTACATTTCAATGAAAATGCATGGTCAATATGTCTATAATATATAACTTTACAAAAATGTGTATTAAAGTATCGTGGATGTTAAGAGGAGAAAATTTTGAAGTCTTTCAATGACAGCATTCTTTTCAGAATTGTCTGACATTTTTCATTTCATAGTCTTACCTTATACGTAATTACTACAATTAACTATTTAAGGTAAAACATTAATTGACAAATTTATGAAACGTCAAACTACTGAACCGAGACTTATAAAACCACAATAACAATTTTATGGGGTTCTAATTTCTTTTTCACTATTCTACAATTTTTTCCCGTCAGTCCCCCATCGAGCGATCGCCCGGTCTGCCCATGCCTAGGCGCCGACACTGCTATCCATCATGGATGGAACAAGGCCGCCTCGATGTTGGGTGGAACTTGAAGGCACTGGGATGAATTCCTTCTTATTGTTTAACTTAATATTACAAATTGCAGAACATTTAGTGCGAAAACTTTATCTATATTAAATTGCAATGTAAATGCAGAATACGTAAGCGTTACAAATATTACGAGGAAGTACGTGCTTTCTCGCAATCATTTGCTCGAAGAGCGTAATATCGAAATGATTAATTTGAAATATTTATTGCTCTGAGTGTTTCATTCAGGGCCTAAAGAACAATCCAATTTCTATCCAACCATTCGTATTCCCTTGATGGATACGTGTGCGTTATTGCCGACTTGACCGTCCCGATTCTGTACAAAGTGCGCGAACCCCTGGCTTTGGGCTAACTTAGGTTTGCTTTAATTATAATTTTCTTTTGAAAATCCCAGTATTAATTCGATTTTTACTCTATTCTTCAACTGTATTCTCAACGTATTGATGTATTTTATTTCAACCAATACACAAACCTTAATTGAAATTAGCCCAATTAGGGTTTCTCTAAATATGATTTAAATGTAATATGAAACAAAATTTTAAAAAAATAGTATGCTTATTTTAATGAATTTTTATTTAATGAAGGATAACTTGATATTCATTTTTCAGCTATATGACAATACTGGTTATCAAGTTGCAAATTTAACAGTAGGAATGTCGCGAAACTGCGTGTAAAAATTCCCAGAATAATTTCTCATTATCGGGCGTTGTTTCTAGATAAGCGATTCTTGAGAAAAAAGTGGAATCTTCCCCGAGGACATCGTGGATGTAAAAAGTAGATTTAAGTTTTGTATTTCTATCGTTAATATATTTTATTTTAGTTTTTTAGTCTTCTTTATCGCAATTGTGTAGTCGTAGTTAATTAATTAGAGTACACTTGATTTCTGGAATAAGAAGTTACTTATTTAATTTACGATTATTAATTAGTTGCAGTAAAGACAGAAGAGAGTCATTAAGAAAATATTCGACATGCGTATATGTCAAATGAATCGTCCATTGCTGTGTAATAAAGACAATAAAAGTTTGATTTAATTTTGTTGTCGGATAGCGTAGGAGGCGCTTAAGGGAATGATACAGGTCTCATTTTCGTTAAAATCCCTGGTTTTTCGAAAATAGAAAGAGTTCGCATTTTTTCGAAGTCTTCCTACAACTACAATATCGAAAATAGAGATTTCTCCTTCAATTAAATCTGTTCTTAAACATCAGATCTTAAAATTAGGTCATTATCAATTTTTCGAACATATGAGTAGTTTTCGCGTAAAATTGCGTGAAATAAAGGCGATTTTAATATAATAAGATTTTAAGAAAATAATTGTTTAAAATATTTTTAACCATTATCTTAAATTATAGAAGTAATTTATTTTGAAGGAAAATACATAGTTTTTTTTCCATAATTGCAGGTACAGGTAACACAGATGGCCGATCACGTCTGATCATGGGATCATGCTATGAACATTTCTGGTCCTTGGGCGTAATAACATTGCCTTGTCTTGCAAGTTTGTTTGAAGACTGGCGCCATTTACAACTGGCAATTTCAATTCCAACAATTTTTCTTCTGCTTCTTTACTGGTATAGGATACACGATTTTTCTCAATTAATTTACAAATACAGTAGACTAGGTTGTTTCAAAAATATTCTATTTTTGCAATAACTCACTTGTTTCTAATAATGAATTTTGAAAAATACAGAACATTTATTTTCTAAAAAAATATTTTTGCTTTTCAATCCATACATTACGTTTTTGTTATGATACTATGTTGTCAGTTGGATACCAGAATCTCCTCTCTGGTTGTTAAATGCAGGCCAGAGTACGGAAGCCAAAGCAATCCTTGACGAAGCCACTAAGTATAATGATGAAATTCAACCACTGATGGATACTACACCCCTAGACACAAGGTAATGAGCTAATTTGCATATTTTTATTTTATTTTATATTAGAAATGAACAATTTCTTTTCATTCATGCATTATGCTTTATCCTACACACAGGATTTCAGTTGCTTCTGAACCACAGAGATATGATTTGAATATTTATTGCTATACTGCTCTTCATATTGCTTGGGCAGGAACAATTGTAACATATTACGGCGCTTTACTTAATGTAAAGAACATTGGTGATCATTTATTCCTATATACAGGAATTGCAGGTAAAAAAACCCTCCATTTTCATTAAAAGGTAGGGAGCAAAAATAACTCCCGCCTTCAATAACAACAACAACAATAATAATAATAATAATAATAATAATAATAATAATAATAACAACAACAACAACTTGGGCGTCATTGCTCCCACTTACTTGCGGCACACTTCTGTTTTCTGTCCTGTAGACCAATCTTGTGCCGGCCGACTCTTTTGTTACCACCCCAATGCTATTAGGTTGCAAGAGCTAGAGAGTCGTTTCTATTCTACTCTTCGGCTCTAACTCTATTTTTCTCAGTCATCCTTTTCCCTTCCGTTTCCTTAAGCTGGCGGTAGCTCAAAAACGCTTGGGGAAGGTGATCCTGAAGAAGAAAAACCTAAGATGGAGGATCTGTCAGGATCAATCGTTACTTGTACCGTGCAGGGGATCGGAGTACCGGCGGTCGGTGGTGCGCAAGCCGGCCACCGGGCTTCGTCACCCAGCGACTGTGATGCCATGGGTGCGGATCACTCGGCACCACTGGCAGATATTGCTAGTAGTGATAGCAAACTTCGCCGGACTCGTCTGGAAGTTTGCGACCCTAGGGTTGACGGATCCCTTAAAAACCCTCGTTCAGAAAAAAGCCCTGAGTTCAAAGCAAAAAGAATGAAAATTGGAAGAACCATAAACTTTGATGACTTGTTCAAGAACACTGCAGCGGTACTAAAGTATCTTACAGTTAAAATAACAGAAGGGAATTTTGATAAAGTAAGCCCATTTCTAATAGAAAAGTGTATTAGCACCTGTGCTGGATCTGCCGTAAGAGAGATAAAGAAAATTCCATCTGGACTCTTGATAAAAACATTTAATAACAATCAAGGCCAAAATTACTAGAATTGAGCAAAATAGGCAGTATAGATGTTGAAGGAAGTGCACATGGCACGCTAAATACCTGCAAATGTGTTGTAGTTTGTATTGACGTACTACACTGCAGTGAAGAGAAAATAGTTCAAGAACTAGCTTCTCAAGGAGTTATTGCCTATCATAGACTAAAAATGAGGCAGGATGGGCACATAATTCCTTCAGCGTTCTATATCCTGACGTTGAAGCGTTGTGCGTTACCAGAGATGATTAAAGCAGGCATTCATTGTCTGACCGTACGAATGTTCATTCCTCAAGCAATGCAGTGCTTTCAATGCTTACGTTTTGGATACATAGATCTAGATGTGCGAGAATCAAACTATGCTATTGTGGTACGTCATTTCATAGTGATGATCCATGCGTAGATCGTATCAAATGCATTAATTGTAGCGGACAGCATTCATCAATGACAAGAGACTACCAAATCTATAAGCAGGAGCAGCAATACAAGGAAAAGCCAGACAAAAGATTAACTATCCTGAAGCAAAAAAAGTGTCTTGAAAATAAAAGAAATATGACATACATAGAAGCAGTTACTAAAAGCACAAATTTGCCTTCATTAGTAGCGAGAGGACTAATGCCTGCAATAACTCGCTGCATAGGAAAGTATTTTAATGAAATTCACAACAAAATCAATACAGAAGACAACTACAAACACTCAACGTTAAATAGTAAATGAAAAGCAATCTACAAGACCTCCACCAAATCAGGCAGAAAAAATCCAGTGGCTGCTCCCGCAGCGAAGTCAAGCAAAGTAGTATCGGCAAAAGGCTATCAAAGTCGATCGTCTCGTCCTCCAAGGTACACTAAGGGCGACTTCCTCAAACAAAAAATAAATCATCCATTATCAATGATGAAGACACAACCACTGGCTCAGAGATACGTTCGATGGTAAGTGCGGAAAATAATGATTACCAATCCATCGATCCAAGCAAAATCCCGCGTAAGAATAAAGGAAAAAAGGATGGCCAAGAAGAAAACCAAGAAAATAAGCAGGATTCACGCATCCTATAGCAGCAGAACCTCATTCCAACTTTGGAAAATATTATTCAATCGAACAGTAGCAATTTCAGCTCACAATATTGCGAGATACAGCCGTTAAAGTTTAATTGAATAATATTTTGTTATAACAAAATATAGTTATATTCCACATTAACTGTCGTATCTCGCAATATTGTGAGCTGAAATTGCTCTGGCCAATCACACACCAATGTGTATGTATGCTTACAAGAAACCTATTTTAAACCAGAGGACCGGTTCAATTTAAGAGGTTATAAGACCTTTCGCAGTGACGTAGAACCTGATAGACGAGACAGGTGGTGTTGCCATATTGGTCAGCAATACGTATCATGCCAGTCGTCTCGATTTCAATACACCTTTACAAGCAGTAGCTGTAACCTTATACCCATTGAAGATGACGTTATATATTACTTACCCAACGCCCCATGGTAAAATAAAGACCTAAAAGACCTGATTGATTAACTACAACTTCCATGTTTTATTCTAGGCAACTTCAATTATCACAGTATCACATGGGGATGTTCTAGAACAAATGACTCCGGCTGCAGAATCGATGACCTGCTACTTAACAACGAATACGTACTTTCAAACATAACGGCAACACAAATTTTAACGCTAGAAATGGCTCATTCTCGGCCATAGTTCTTTTAGAATGTAGTAAAAATCCTGCAACACGATTGACGTGGAAACCACAGCGAGATCTTCGTCAGAGTGATCACTTCCCTCTGTTGATATTATCGAACATACCAAAGAACGCAGTAAATTTACCGAAACGTTGGTGTACCAACCGTGCATTCTCGATTTGCGATCACGAGATGTTTGACGGCCTAGAAGCATCAATTGAATAATGCATGTATATAGATGACATTGCTATATTTTATTCAGCCCAATCACTAGCAGTGATCAAATTCAAAATGTCATCCATAAGTTAGTACAGAACGCAAAAAAAAAACACTGGTCTCTCATTTCAGCAGCCAAAACCAAATGCGTTCTCTTTTGTAGGAATCGAAAAAGATATAGAAATCCAGATCTAGCGCTAAATGGTGTTCAACTGACGGACTATGAAACGACAAAATTACTTGGTTTGATTGTTGTTTTTGTTTTCAATGCTTGGTAGTTTTTCTTATTTTTATATATATATTTATTTGATGAGACTTTTTTTCCTTTGCTATCTTAACATACTTTGAATTGATTTGTAGTAATTCTCCTCTTAAAAGTATTTAATTTTTTGTACTGTAAGTTTATTTGATAATATTCCCACTTATATTTCAAGAAAATACATTTGGTGCTACGTATTAAGGCAAAGATTATGCTGAATAATGTAATAAATAATGAAAAAGCAAAGAGAAACATAAATTTATATTCAATTTATCTTGTTTTTATTTTTTAAATGAAATATTTTTTATAATCGCTTTAACGAGTGTGGCGCGAGCGCCCGTTGTGCCGTGTGTGCGTGTGCCGTGTGCGTTGTGCGTGTGCGTGTGTGCGTGTGGGCGAGTGTGAGTGTGAGTGGGTGAGCGATC